GACTCTAAAAGGTTCACCATCACTGCCTTAGTGGTTGCACCACAGAGCACTTTCTAGTTGCATTTGTGAGCAGCAGCCCTCAGAAAGACTTCCATTTATAGCAGCAGGAGTTGATTCCACTGGGAAGTGGGAGAGAAGCCCTGCACGGCTGCCCTCATGATGGGGGGGGGCAGGCCCTGGCCCCCAGAGCTCCTTGCCCACCCTGTTCCTCATTGTCCTGGAAGACGGCACTGCAGTGGGCGTTCTGCTCAGGAGCTACTGGATGCCGTGCAGGCTCTTATTTAGACCACCGCTAATTAATTTAGTGGTAATCTGATTAAGGAAAAAGCTTTTGGTAACATTTATGAACTGCCTGTTAGATATATGCTTGGCCCACTCTCCCTTTATCTGCCTTTTCGAAAAAATTGGGAAAGGGAAACCTTTCCTCTGAGTAAGGAGCCCTGGAAAAAAATTCCTTGTTTGTTAGGGGCTTGGATTTACTCCCAGGATCAGGGATTTCTGTGAGTTCGAGGGCCAGGATGGCTTTGGATAAGAGGGACTGGTTGTTGTTCAATTTGGATGCCTCACCTCCCTAAGGTTCTGACTGTGATGAGGGGCTGCCATGGACCCCGGCAGCAGAGAAAGAGGCTTTGCAAGCTGCTTTGGTGGGACACTGAAAGCGAGGGTCCCAACTAGGGATGTGCATTTCAAGATCCCGAGCCGAAAAAAAGCCGAAAATAACGATTTTCGGCTTTTTTCGGCTTTTGGGATCCCGAATTAGCAATTTATGAGCTTGTCCGAATCCCGAAAAAAAATCCCGAAAAATTCGGGTCCATTATAACCAATGGGGCCATTGAAGTCAATGGCAAAAATCCTCTTGAAACTTTGTGGGGGGCTGGAGGGGAGGGGGTTTGGGGTAGAGGCTCCAAACTTGGAGCGTGCTTACTGGAACCTCTCCCCAACATACCCACCAAGTTTCAAGACGATTGGACCAGTTTTTTAGCCTGTGGCCAGTGGCCACCTTTGGATTTCCAAAGCGGAGCGGACTAGTAGTCATCTCTCCTTACAGTCTCTCCTGGCCATGGAGCAGGCGGGCTGGGTGTGGTTGGGGGAGGGGCGTGCAGTGCACAGGTTCTGCTGCTGTCCCCTGCCCTGAACAGGGGACCAAGCCCGACTCCCAAGTTCCCAACTCCTTTTCAGCCTCTCGGCAGCCCACCTTTGGATTTCCAAAGCAGGCTAGGCAAATAGCGCTTCTGGTCATGGAGGAGGGGCCTCTGGGCCTCTGGGGTTGTAAGGGAGACGTCTCTGTGTGAATCTCCTGCATTGCTGGGCACAGAGGTTGTTGGGGGGAAGTTGAGATTGCTCTGGTTCTGCAGCTGGGCATGGCTGCGATTAGCAAACATGCTCCCCTATGTAGGCCGCTGCCACTGCAGAGGGGAGAGATTGTTTTGCTTTTGGGGTTTTTTGGGCACTGGCACATTGGCACACTTGTGGTGGACTGGTTCTGCTGCTGGGCCTGGCTGGCTGGCATTGGCATTGGCGATGCACATACATGCTCCCTCAGCCTGTGTGCTGCCGCTCCAGTGCAGTCTGGAGAGATTCTCTGGTTTGACCTAGTTCTGGTTTTGGGGCACTGACTGGCATGGCAACCTGGCTGGCCTGGCACAGGTGGCAGATTGCTCTGGTTCTTCTGCTGCTGGGCCTGGCTGGCTGGCATGCACTTGCTCCCTCAGTCTGTAGTGGCTGCTGCTGCTGTCTGGAGAGATTCTCTGGTTTGACCTAGTTCTGGTTTTGGGGCACTGACTGGCAATTGGCAACCTGGCTGGCCTGGCACAGGTGGCAGATTGCTCTGGTTCTTCTGCTGCTGGGGCCTGGCTGGCATGCACTTGCTCCCTGTAGTGGGCTAGTGGCTGCTGCTGCTGTCTTGAAAGATTCTCTGGTTTGACCTAGTTCTGGTTTTGGGGCACTGACTGGCAATTGGCAACCTGGCTGGCCTGGCACAGGTGGCAGATTGCTCTGGTTGTTTCTTCTGCTGGGCCTGTCTGGCACAATGCACATGCTAGTGCTGCTGCTACTGTAGAGAGATTCTTTGGTTTGAGCTAAGTTGTAGTTTTGGGGTTTTGGGCACCCAGTTTGGTAGCGCAGGTGGGGGGGCACTTGTATGGTTCTGCTGCAGTGTGGCTGGCTGGTCTGGCAATGTACAGTTTGAAATTGCAACACGCAGCACACTCCCCCAAACAGTTTGCCCCCATCCCTCCATTGTTCTCTATGGTGGGAAAAAAATTACATTTTTTCCCACCATAGAGAACAATGGGATGGGGGCAACCTGTTTGGGGGCCCATAGAATTGGACCCCCTGGTCCAATCTTCATGAAACTTGGAGGGTGTGTTGGGGCTGGCTGGTCTGGCAATGCACAGTTTGAAATTGCAACACGCAGCACACTCCCCCAAACAGTTTGCCCCCATCCCTCCATTGTTCTCTATGGTGGGGAAAAAAGTAATTTTTTTCCCACCATAGAGAACAATGGGATGGGGGCAACCTGTTTGGGGGCCCATATAATTGGACCCCCTGGTCCAATCTTCATGAAACTTGGAGGGTGTGTTGGGGAGAGGTTCTAGTAACCACCCTCCAAGTTTGGAGCCTCCAACTCCAAGGGCCATATGATACAATGTTGCCGAATTGCCGCCGAATTTCGGCGGCAAACCGGGAATAAACTGCAGAAGGCTGATCTGGGGGCAACCTGTTTGGGGGGCCATAAAATTGTACCCCCTTGTCCAATCGCCTTGAAACTTGGTGGGCATGTTGGGAAGAGGTTCCAGTGAGCACCCTCCAAGTTTGGAGCCTCTACCCCAAACCCCCTCCCCCCCAGCTCCCCGCAAAGTTTCAAGAGGATTTTTGCCATTGACTTCAATGGCCCCATTGGTTACAATGGACCCGAATTTTTCGGGATTCCCGAAAATTTTCAAATATCTATGCTTTACCGGTATAGATATTTGGGTTTTTTCGGGTTTCCCGAAAAAATTCGGGTCCAATAAACCCGAATCCAAATTTTACCGAATTTTTTTTTTTTGCACATCCCTAGTCCCAACAGGATGAAGCATCTAGAGCCTTCCTTGTGGACAGCTGAGAGCATTCTCACATGCCTTGCAGCTCCTCTCTCATGAGTCTCTTTTATTTAAAGGCTCCATCATCTCAGCCAAGCAACAATTCCACCCACCCCCAACCGGGGGGGGGGGGAGACACCACCTTACAAAATCCATTCCAGCAGTCAAGGAGTCCCTCTGGTTCAGGCAAGGGTCCAACAGAGGAGCCTGGCATGGCATTGTAGCCCCCAGGAGCCAAACTGGCAGTCAAGAGAGCCATTTGACCAGAGGTTCCATTTTTGTGGCATAATGGCATATTTTAAGCACTTTCATTTTGAGCCACAGCCGTCTTCCTAGGCCTCTCAGCAATTTGTCACATTATGTTTTCCTGAAGTGTGATCATGCAAAACACAGTACATATATAAAGATGGCCAGTTAGTGAGCTCCTGCTGAGCTCATCATCTTTACTTTTACAAAAGGGTAGCAGAGGCTATGACATAAAGGAATGGAAAGGTGTGGGGTAGATGGAAATGTAATTATTGGAACACAGAAGAGGGAGCAATGAGTGCACTGAAACAGCAGAATGAGGAAAAGCTTACACAGGAATCAGGCAAAATTTCATATAGATTGGCTCTCCTAAACTGCTGCCAAATTGTTATTTAGCGCTTTTCTTGCTGGTTTCCAAATAACCAAGCAGGCAAATTCTATGTAGGCAAGGGGGTAAGAAACACAAGGCTTTATGGGATCCAAAACACACCCCACAGCAATATTGCGCAGCTGAGCTCTGTTATAATGTACTTTAGTAGAGGGATTATATGATCTGAAAATTGTCTTAAACCAATGAAGGCTGTGCCAAGAAGTTGTAGGCAAGGGGGTGTCTGGAGATGCTGCATAAAAAGACTCCTATGTGAAAACAAATTAGCAACAATTGTTCTTGTAACAAGGGATATACTTCAAATGCATTGGGCTCATTTCAGTGTTGTCCTATCTTAGAAGAACTATGCTGCCTCTCTCCCTATGACTGTGTGTGAGGAACCAGAGCTAGACCTAACAGTAAGGGAAGGGACACTTGGCTCAAGTTCTTTAAGAAAAATTTATCCATAGTCTAATGTACTCGTTTTATATTTTCCTGTTTGTAGTAATTCTGAGGTCTTAAAAAGAATACTTCTGGAGGCCTTTAAGAGAATTTTATTTGAGTGGTTCTTACAAAGATTGTTGCAATATGAAAGTCATTTGTTGATAGAAATATCAAGCTGTTTTGTCAAACACACTGAAGTTAACCCAAAAATATATTTCACAGCTCACAGAGCTTAAAAAAGAGCAGAGATTATATGCAACCAGACAAAATATATTCCTGCATTTCCTACTTCAACTTTCAAACTAGGTACATTCCCTGCAATCAATGGACCTTTAATTTGGAAATGCAGAGATAGCTTTGTTTGGAATTCTAAACACACCTTACACCTTATTTACAAGAAACTTTTACAGTGACAATCAGAAGTTACCATCTAGAAATAAAATGCTCTAATCTTCCCAATGCTGCCAAATGGTCAACATTAAATGACCAACCATTAAGTGATCAGCTGACCAAAAGAGTCACTCAGTAGCCTCTTGAATTTTCAGTCCATACAAAAAAACACACTAAATATGTCCAGTTAAATTCTGATATTAACCTTTAGCAGAGCATCTACATTTAAGTGAATGTAAAATGTAATACCTGCATTAAAAGAAAAGGCTGGTGAAAACATTAAAAAATCATGTCCTGACCACCTTTTACAGAAAATCTTTTCTATGAGCTATCTGTTCCTACAGATCACCTTAGCCAAATGTTCTAAATGTACAAGAATTACAAGGCAGAACAAGTAGTCAGCTTTGTATACAGTGGG